TTTATGCGAAAACGGTGCGTCGTACAACAAAAAATCAAGATATAAAGTTGTTCAAAATTTCATGTAGATTTTAAAAATAATTTTTATTTAAAGAAACCATTGGCGTACCATTTTTTTCTTCAATAATATTTAGTTTAAATACCGTAGGGACGCCACTGATGAAAATAAAAAAAAGTTAATAGCATCATTTTTTCAAGAATCTATGACCAAATTTTGTTGCATTAATATCCGGACACCCTGTATAAAAGAAATGTTACTGGAGGAGATTGATGAAAAAATTGGAGAGTACCAATGTGGATTTAGGAAAGGAAGAAGTACCATTGACCAAATATTTACAGTACTGTTTAGTGTAGTATTAGAAAAAAATATAAAAGACGCGGGAATCAACAGAGAGGGCCTTCTGTATACAAAAAGACACCAATGCTTAGCCTTTGCCGATGATTTGGTCATCTTAGCAAGAGATCGGAAAGACCTGATATCGGTGACCAAAAGACTAGAAAATCAAGCGCAAAAAGTAGGCTGAGTGTTTAATGAGAAGAAAACGAAATTTATGGAGTGGTCAGATAGAGATTTTGAGAAGGGAAGATATCTATAATTGAAGTCTGAGAGAGGTAAACGATACAAGTTTGAGGAAGTAGATACATTCACATATCTGGGAGCAGTATTTCTAAGGAATCCAAATGTAACTCAAGAAATTATGGCAAGAATAATGGCAGGAAATAGATATGTCAGCGCATTACAGAAAATTATTAAGAGTAAGAACATTTCTAGAAGTTTAAACATCAGAATGTACCAAACAATGATAAGACCAATAGTACTGTATGCATGTGAAACGTAGACGTTCAATGCAACAGAAAGTTCGAGGCTAGAAATTTGGGAAAGAAAAATACTGAGGAAGATTTTTGGAGGAAAGAGGATAGACAACATATGGACCAGAAGAACAAATGAAGAAGTAAAGCAACTATATCGGGCACCGAGTGTAACGGGAGTAGCAAGAGCACAAAGACTGAGATGGCTGGGACACATTGAACGAATGGCCGAAGCAAGAATTCCTAGTATGATAATGAAACGTGAAATAGGTGGAAAGAGAAGGAGGGGTAGACCAGGAATCAGATGGAAAAAGTCTGTAGAAGAGGACTTGAGAAGGATAAGAGTGGATGGGTGGAGAATAAAGGCAAAAGACAGAAACAAATGGAGAAAGATAACCAATCAAGCCATGAGCCTTTTAGGCTTTTAGAGCTATTTTATATATAGTATATATATTTCGACTTCAGGAACACGATTATGAAGTTTTTTTCGCGAAAAAAAAATTGAAAATTTCGATTTTTTTTTGTTGTTCATCCCAATCCGATTACATGTGCCCACGACAACATGTAAGAGCGCTTTGACACACACCGGCAATGTGTGAAGGAGCTAATTTTTATATATTGTAATCGATTTCAGATTTTCATATTATGCTTATTTAGATTGTTAAAAGAAAATGGTCTAACCTATTTCTTCTATCACTCTGATGTTCGACAATCTAGATTCGAATATATACTTTCTGACCAACCCGACAGTGACAATGGCTGTGAGTGGGGTACTGAATAGGTCGAGATTTTTTTATATTTATTTTTAGTTAAATAATGGCACTATATTTTAAAATGATATAAAAGGTTGTGCGTGCGATAATAAATATTACAGTCATTTCGATATTAGATATTTTTTCCACAAATTCTTAATATTTCATTTTTGAAAGAGATAAATAGTGTATGCGTGATCAAAACGATTTTATAGTCTGCTTATCTGTAATTATTTGTCTATTATAGTTTCCAGCACAATTTCATAAATCTCCATCATCTTGAAAAATATAATATTGTAAATTATCAAATATATTTTTTACAACTAGACAAATGTAAAGTTCATATTCCGAGTTCCCTTACTCCTCTTCTCTCATTTCTTTTGCTTCTGCTGAGGTAATTTCTAGTGGATACCAAAGTACCAATAATAACACAAATTCGAAGGAACCGACGAGAAATTTAAAATTGATAAAAATTATTAAACAAGCACGACAAAATCAAAAATTATAAATTTTGGAGTTATTATTCACTTTTTCATTTTCAATATGAAATATTGTACCCAGGGGGGTGACAGTGAAATAGGAAAATTGGAAACAGTCATTAGTGTCATTCCTGTCATTCTCCTGACAAGTATGGCCGCCTAGACAAGGACAGCAATGTTTCTGTCTAACTATTGCCTAACTTCACAGTTTAGAATTGACAGATTTGAGTTTCAGAGACAACTTCAGATTTGTTCTAGAACAAATTAGAAAATATTCGACGCCATTTTAATTCATTTCGTTTAGTTTCGTTTTAGAAGTTCAATTTAATATTTCGGCTGAAATTTATAAATATAAAGGTAATAAAGTATATAAAATATATATCACATGAAGAATCCTGGAGAAAATGACGTTTCTGCAGTAGTGGGTATGTCCCTTGTATATGAAAAATAGGTAGTAAATAAACACTGTTTTTACATTTTTAGATGCAAGAAAATGGTGTTATAATCTCTTTGATCGGCGATTTTTTTGAAAATGGAAACAATATACAGCAAGGTAAGATCATTTTTAACTATAGCCAACATTAGTTATCTCCAGTATGTGCGATTTATTGTCAGTAATGCAATAAATCGGACTGATAATCTGATTATGTTATCCGACTAAAAGTCTCTTCTTTTTGATTTATAAGCCAGATCTCTTTGGGAATAATGGACGCTTTTTTTAAACAGTATATTTATATTTTATACCTATTGATATTTTTACATTGTTAATTTTAGTATAAAAAAATTGTTTTTCTGTTTTCAGGTTTTTGTATAAGGCTCCCGTTTTCATGTTCCTGTCCCAGTTTTATGTCCCTGATGGCTGTGAATACGTGTATTTATTTACAAATTACTGTAAGTCATGCTTATACCTTACTAATTTACGTTAAAATTGCATATAATTAAGTAATTGCTGAAAAAATCATTCAATTCTTTATTTTTTATATTTATTTAGTCACGTTGTCTCATATTTCAAATAAATATGTTTGAATAAAATTTTGTTTTGTTTTATTTATGATAAGAAAGAGTACAAAATACATTTAAACTAAAAGAGGGCCCGCCATTGAATAACCGGAAACGGAAATAAAAATAAAGCCATCATGTTAACCTGTCAATTGGAAAATTAGTTCTCCAGACGACAACGAAGGCTTTCGGTGGCGTATCGTGTTTCCACGATTTAACACAGAGTTGACACTTCTTTCTAGTTAATTATTTTATGATTGTACCTACTTTTTTGATTACTGGTATGTGTGGCTTTAAATAAAATAATGTATAAACCTCAAAGGAATATTTCTCTTACTGTCTCGAGATATACTTAATTAATTCTTAGGCAGTAATGAAACAAACTTCACTGTTTGAAATATAATGTAGAATTTATATTTTTATATTTTTAAGCAATATCCTCTCCCACAGTATTATATGAAATAAATAATTTATAAAGTTTAATAAGTAGTAAACTAATAAAAGGTACTAAGTAGACGTTTTACAAAGCATATTTTTGATCATAGACAATATTTAAAATATATAAAATTATATATTATTTAAAGTTTGCAACAAGATTATCAGACAGAACTTATTTTATATTCAGATTTTCCAATTTTTAGAATTATGGTGCCTTCACCATATTGTACACAAAAGTATTTACAGGACCATGAGGTGTAGTCTTGGCCATGAGCACAGATAAAATGAATTCTATGTTATCTCTGGCCCCCATGGGTTAAAAAGAAAATAAACCTAACCGATACATTCAAACAAATTTTAATTGAAAAAAATATCTACCTACCTAATTTACCTATTCCTCTTACTGATTAAACGATTATATAAAAAAGAAAATAAATATAAAACTGGAAAGCTGTAAAGAGGACCATCATTAGATACAACATGGTCGCTAAATGACGAAGAATAGATTTGAGTTTCATCATCAAACGTAGGTTTAACCCGTTAACTACTGCCTGCCATACAAATGTGAATGTGAAATTTTACATAAAACTATGGAAAATATTACCAATTAATATATGTAATTTATTTCATAATTTTATGTAAATTCCATATTTTTACTTTAATACTAGTTACAGAAGTTTGTGAAATTTTACACAGAAAATGGAAATCTTTTACTAAGCTATGTAAAATTACCACGATAATCCTGGGTCGCAAATGGACCCACGATTATCGTAGTAATTTTACATTTTCTTTTTTATATTGTATGAGTAGAATTCAATGGCAAAATTTATTGCTGGAACATTGCCAAAACTTCGCAAAGCAAGGTGTAACATTGCTTTTTTCATTGTAGGGAGGTTTATGCAAGGTTTCAGGGTAGCTTAATCTTCCGCCAAATAACATTGCAGTGCAAGGTTGTATTTCACAATATTATTGAAACATTGCTAATGTAATGTTCAAGAAAGTACTAATTTGGGATGTATTAGTAATATTGTTAATTTTACGTCAATACAATATTGGTCAAATTATACCTATTATTAATTATAATTAACTGACTTATTGCTAAAATAATATAGCAAAAAATAGATAATGTTTGCATTAAAAAACCATCATCAGAGGGAAAATATAAAAATTATTTTTTAATATTTACTTATCAATTAATGAAACAGTTTTTTCTTGCGAACATTAGCAATTTTATGTTATCAATAATACATCAGTAATAGCCTCGTAATAGGTTATAATCAATAGAAACATTAATGGATATTAAATTGTAGACTTTCAGATAGGTATAATATATACTTTTACTAATATTGTATTGACGAAAAACATAAACATTATTGAAAAAATATGTAGGTATATCTCTATATCCATTGACTTAAAAATTAAAATTGCTCAGTAAATATATCCCTACCAAGTAAGTCGAATTTGTCAAACAAATTGAAAAAAACAAATAAAAATAAGAAATTTATCACTTACTTCAAGTCAAGTACTGAGAACTTACTGATCTTTTCGGCTGCTCATTAAATAAGGAATTAGTCGAATGTGAGTCGAATTTAAAAAAAAAATTAAAGTTGAATGTCTGAAATAATACAAAATATATAGGTACAGTATAAACATTATTTTATATTTCTTATTCAAAAATACAAAAGGAAAGTATAACATTAAATGTATGTATGTTTTTCCTTCTAGCAAATAGCAAACTTATAGTTTAATTGTCTCCGCATGGTGAATTGTCTTATTCATGGTTTCAAATTCCTCTTCGGTAAAGCTTTAAAATCTATATCCAATCATTTCTAAAGTAGTAAAAATAAAAACAATCAGTTGTAATAAATAAAGCAATGAGAAACTTACCTCTTGTGACAGTAATCTTTGAGGCCCCTTTATGTCCTTATTTTAAAAATTTCAAATGATTATAACATCATTCAAAAAATATTATTGAGAATAATTAATACTGAATATTATTTGTGATTTTATCATTAGATTGATATACTCGTATCCTGATTCCTGATTTTATCTACTTCAATTTTCAGTTGGCTAAAAGCTAACCTAAAACATAAAATATAGCTTAAAAACAAACTAAACTAAACAAAATTTGTTATACTTATTCATGGCTAAATATTATTATTAAAACACACATAATAATAAAATTATACTTACATTTACATTCATTAAAATCTCATTCGAAAAGCATAAAATGTGATACCAAAAAAGTAAAAAACAAGTGCGTTAACCTAACCTAACTATACCGTATGATCGAAAAAAAAAGACGTCAGCGATGGCTATGAAAAGAAAATCACTGTCATTTTATATGGGAAATGTCATCGATATTCATTTCCAAGCCAACTAAACGCCGTTTTTTTCGATCCTATGGTATATTTGTTATATTATTAATTAATATTAACTTGCACGGATCTTTCATTTGAATCTTTGTTGCAATGTTGCAGAAAAAACGTTTTAACACCATTCAAAAACAATGTTTCTGTAGCAGGGTTTTATCAATCACGACCAGAGATATGGAAGTGGGAGAATGAGCTTCGACGAGTGCGCATCCAAATTTTTGTCGACGGCAAGATGGCAGACATCTTCCAGGTCTCGCTGTCACTTCCCCTCTTTAATTGACATCTGTTTGTTTTTTTTTTTCGTTTGTGTTGTTATCTAGTTAAAATTTATTATTATCTCAATTATTCTAAACACTAATTCAAAAAGGCCTGTTGTATATTCATAGTCATTCTAGAAAGCTAATACGCCGGGAATAATGATTAGTTTTCATGTGTAAGTTTATACAACATAATCGTGTTTACAGATGATTCAAAACTGTTTATTTTTAACTTTCCTAAAGGCGATTTGTAAAAATCGTGATTGTAATTGGGAATGGTCAAAAATAAGTGTATGATGTGGCCATTTAAAGAGGATGTTTTTATTACGTGTGGAGGAAGAAGATACTTGGAATCAATGTTCGTGTTTCTGTAAAACAGTGCACTCTTATAGTGTCCATGAAAGCACAAGTTCAAGTGACCAGAAATATATCAAATAAGATTGGTCCTTACTTGACAAGAAGATTATTTGGAGGAAAAGAAAACATAAGATAGGGTATTTTAATCGAACAGCGAAAATTTAACACTTTTATTGTAAAGTTTGTTGTAGGTAGTTGTAGTTTTGTGCTAAATATTTCTAACATTAGCAGCGGCTGTGTTCAGAGTGTCAAGAGGAGGAGAATTCAGTTAATTAGATTTATGCACAGTTACAGGTATGAAGGCTTTTTCAAACATAGTATCGAGTTCTATAGTCAACATTTTTAGTATTCCTACAACTGTAAAAACAAGGAACATTGGACTGGAAAAATGGCAAGATTTATATAGAAAGAAAGGGTATTATGCCAATAAGAAAATTAAATCTGTAGGCAGAAGTTTCTTATTTAAAAACTGTTATGGGGCATATATTAATTTGTATCTCTGCCACAAATCACTGAGAAAAATCATATAATATTCATAATTGTTAACGAGATGATATTTAAAGAGTGTTAAAAATGAGATTATTAGTCATGAAGCTTACAATGTTACTTTGTTTCAATATTACACTTTTATTCTTGTAAAATCTATGATGAAGTTCAAAAGCATTTTGCAATGGCTTTAAATTGTGAGCCAGGATTTATAGCAAAGGTATTGATGCAATGAAACTTAATCGGTACCTTCCAGTATGTATTTTAGTAAGGGGATTGTCAATCCCATGTTTTTAAATAGATAAAATACAGGCCAAAGTTGACAATATTACAGTTGAGAAGAAACTATTTTATCTTAAAAAAAAATTTCTTAAAATTCTGAGATCATATAATCTAATTTTCTTAATAATAAATTAGGTATATGTACATACAGAATTTTGTTATGGACAAATAAGGATCGACAAGCTTCTTTTGTGCAAAAAATAAATGATTTTTTCTAGTATTACGACAAACCATAATGTGTTTTACAAACTTACCGGTAACAGTTTTTGTTTATAATAAAATATTTAGGAATAATTTGGGTTGTTTATCAATATATTAATGACTTGAATTTTGACAAATCGAATTTGTATCAAAATAATTTTACGAAATATAAAATTGATGTTCTATTACAAGATTGAGTTTTTATTGTCGACAAAAACCAGGATAAATACTAATAATAATACCCTTAATAAAATCAATGATGTTTATGTATTATGAAAATATTTGTTAGAGGACATGTTATGTAACAGTTTTTGAAACATAATTTGAAGGGACGAATAAAAAAAATAAAACAAAAACATATTTTTTCTAGGTTTATATTAAAAATACAAGGTAGATAATCATCAAAAATAATTATGAACCAAATGTTTTTTATGAATATACAACTTGAACAAAAAGTTGTTTAGAACAATTTTTACCAAATTTGCAAAAATTTTAAATTGAAACGCGTAATTCAGTACAAGTAAACATGAAATATTGTAAATACTTATTTAATATCATTTGAGTGTTTAACGACGAAAAGGTCATCTGTCCGTAGCGTCTTTTGTCAGAATATTCGTATAATATTTAGTGTATTATATACCAATATTGTACGCAGTTTTGAAACTGATAATTAAATAAATCATATTAATGTTAACTAAACATAATAAATGATAGAATTTCACTAAATTTAAATTGCCCCCCGTATGGTTGAAAATAGCAAATTGATATTTGATTACTTATAGATTACCACCTATATACAAAATGACACGAAGACCTGGAATATGGCGTCCAACTTGATTAGACCTTCTGCGCATGTTGACGCTCATTCTCTATCCCTTCTATTTCTCTGATCACGACACAACGTTTAGAAATCAACATTACAACGCAAACTGTTTGGGAATTGACTGCAATGTTGCAAATGTAATGTGAGGTTTTTTGCTTGGTGGGTAGCCTGGGTGCTTGGGGGAAGGCGACCATACCTAAGAACATGTTTGCAATTGCGGTTTGAACTTGAGCTGTGACCTGCTCAAGTATAAGCCGTTGGAAGTCTAGGCCGAAGAGATTTTTGGGGGAGGCAGGCGTTATTCCTAAAGGAGCTGGGGAGGCACCGGTTGAAGAAGAGAACACTCTCGAGATTGGAGCGACGGTGAGTTTTGCTACTGGTGCAGCGAGGTACTACTGGGTGCTACTGGAGCTATACGGCCAGCCACATTAGAATATATTAGAAGGACAAGTTTATCACAATAAACAGCTTCCATTTGCTACCATCGACCACAATATACACTAGTATACAACTACCGTCGTATACCTGCAAAACGCAGCACCAAAATAACCGTTCGGTCCACCTACGTGCATACGCGCGGGCTGGCGATTTCGGCCATTCATATTTTCCCGACGTTTTCCCCGCAGGTGCGCGCCCACGTCACCCAAACCGATTTTTTCCATTAACCTCGATCTTCCGCGGCGAAAGGACGCCGGAAAAATATACTACGCCGCCCCTGCCCCTCCCCATGCCCCTGTCTCGCACTCGCCACAATTAACCCGAGCGAAATATAATTTAACTCGATAAGATTTCGGGCCGGATTTATGCACCGACGATATCCGATATTCTTTTTACGTATCGGGGTATAAATTTAAAGAGATGCGTACCAGGACCGGATCAGTAAAGATTATATCATTTTACAAAAAGACATCAACTTTCTTTTAGATATTGCTGATCGTGTTTCTTTTTCGTTTCTAGCTTTGGTTACTGCTTATCTAAATAATTTCTCTGACCAATAAGGTTACCTATATCTTTGTAGCATCATTATTTGTGGCATAGGTTCGTTTTCTGAAAAGAACACTGGAGTTTTAGCCACTAGAAGATCTTCTTCCTCAACCCGGATTCATCCACTCCTGGATATAGGTCTTTCCTATCTTTTTCCATGTCTTCCTGTTTTGTGCTATATTTAACCACCGTTTACCTGCCACTTTCCTAATGTCGTCCCCCCAACGTTTCTGTGGACGTCCATCCCTATATAACACATAATATCCGCAGGATATTCATAGAATGTCGGAATGTCCCATTATAAGATCATCTTATAAAGACATCTATAGGATATCCTCCAGACATCCTGAAATCCTGTAGATGTCTCAGAATAGAATATCCTATGGATACCTCTGTCGTATATCTAATGTACATCCAGCTGAGATATCCAAACATGCTCATGATAATAAAATATCCTAACAATATCGTCTAGATATTTAGGAAAAATAAATAATGTACTACTTTTTATATTACATAAAATGCAATAAACCATACAGATAGATATATATTACGTCAAGACAACAAAATATCCTGTTGGTATCTTCTGGATAATCTGGATATTTATGAGCTTGGCCACTCCCAGTAATACAGAGAATTTAAAACGCCCACGCAAAACATTTCCCACAATCCATCTCGACAGTTGTTTATTTTTGATGGTTTTTTCATCGTGTATTATTCAGTTCTTTGATTTAGTGAAATTCGAGGTGAATTCGGTCGTTTGTCGATATTGGATGGGCTGAAAAATGACTGAAACTAACAAAACTGGTTGAGTTTGACTTAGTTTTTTCTTATACTCATAGTTCTGGCCTTGTTCTAGCAGAAATTCTATCCTAACCTCAACTAATGTCGAAAAACGACGAACAACTCAGGGTCTCACAATGAAGAATTTGTGACAAAATTATAGGTGAAAATTTGTTGAAAAGCGCTTGTTCTTTATCCCTAAACCCATTTTCGTGTTTGATCTATTCAAACAGAAATCCTATTTTTGTGTTTAAATTTTGAGTTTCTGGAATGTGTGGTGTTAGAAATTATACCTGTAACCTGTGTGCTAATTTTGATGTAAACTGTTGCTGCTAGACATAAACTGCTAGACTCCATAAAGGGTAGTATAATCTGGTACAAAATACCATACGATAGAAAAAACGGCGTCAGAGGTGGCTTGGAAATGAAGGCTGCTGTTATTTTGTATGTAAAATTATATGGGGAATGTCATCGATCGTAATTTTCAAGCCAATTGAACGCCTTTTTTTTCGATGGTACAGTATAAATTGAAAGCTCTTAACTCATACAAATAAACTTCTAAATTTTGACGCACAATTCATTGACATAATATGTGGGTATATTTTAGAGCTATTAATAAAAATATCCAATGAATAACGTCAAAATGTTGCTAAATAAAACTAAATCGCGAACGTTTTTACTATAAACTAAGGATGAAGTAAGTATTATCAAATAACAGTCCTCATATA